CGCCACCATCCATGGAAAAGGGCAAGCATGTGAAGAACTGGTCATCATCTAAACTAGGATTAATGACATGTGCTCCATTAAAAAAGAAGCCCATGGCCAGGTCCTGAGTGCCCTTCCATGGTGGGTTTCCTCAAGTGGGGGTCTGGACTCGATGCCAGTCTACTGAACATGCCTGAACCACTCAGGACTCAAGTCCCTGTTTCTCAAGTTAGTCCTGAGACTGCCTGACACCCATGAATACTTATGCCGACTGCGGCTCAGGCTCTGTTCTTCCTGATCCCCCTGGGGTTCCCAGAGGACCAAATGGGCATCCATGGCTGAGGCCACCTGCTAGCCCAGAACCCTCAACTAAAATGGAAACATCCAGGGCAACTTTCCTGTGTGGTTGTCCCAACAACAACAACAACAAAAAGGTGCCATGGAGCTCCTTGGGAAACCTCTAACCTGAAGCATGGAAGCAGATGCTCCTCTCATGGGCCCATCGTGCATACATGGGTTCACCACATCCCCCACTTAATCTGTGTCTGGAATGCCATCCTCTATGCCCTCCCAACCAAGTCCCAATTATGATTTCTCTGGACACCTTCCCAGATCCAGCTGTGCCCAGGTACTTGAATTGTGATGGGGATAAAGCCTGTCAGGAACCCTTTTCCACTGTGCTGGCACCAGGCATGCGTCACTCCTTGTACAAGTCTCTTTGAAGCTCATGATGGCTCTGTTAGGTTCCCTCATCCACAAAGATGGTTCAGTAGAATCAACTACTCTAGTTCTGGAGTCACCCTCTCTGATATCTTCATAGGCATGTGCAGGTGGCCTCCTCTCAACAGCACAGAGCTCCTGGGCTATCTTGGTCTTATCTTACATGCCCCAAGAACCCCAGACAAATCCCGTACCCAGCCAGCACAGCCTTTCTGTGCAGCCTAACCCCACACTGAGTTTGTGGAGGATTCTGATGGCTCATCCCAGAGCCCTGCTGAAGGACCAAGATGCTGTTGGGGATGGGAATTACAGATTAGGAAGGTCCAGAGGGAGAGAGCAGGAACCTCATCTGTGGTCCTGACCCTGATCAAGGACTGGGTGTTGCCAAACATGCCCTAGGGCTGAGGCCCCAGGCAAAGGCACTCCTAGTAATCCCAACTATCTTCTAGCATGAAATGGGACCTGCTTGGGCCCAAGGGCCACTGGGTACTGGGTACTGGGTACTTTGTATCCTGCAAAGTTGTATACTTCATAATGCTCGCTGCCCAAGCTTCTTGGTTCACTCTGTTCGCATATTCCAGGCCCTCAGAACACTTTCCGGGGCTATTCCCCTAACCCAGCTTGGCTTCCAGCTCCTAGAATACCTGCCAGCAGGATGCCGAAAGGGCAGGCCCACCTGGAAGAAAAGGGCAGAGACTGCATGGCAGGACCAGGGGAGGTTTGGTCAGGATGGGGGGGTGGGATTCCACCAGAAGTGGGCTCTGATGCCTGTGGGCTCTGTCTGCCATGGTCCACCCCACCCTCAGAGCCTTCTTCCTCCACATCAGCAGACATGCTCTCCTCTGGCTGCACCCTGGGTAAGCCCTGGCCCTCCAACACATCTGGCCTGGATGCGAGGTGTGTGGGCAAGGATGCATGGGGTCACCTATGGGCTGTTTGCTGAGCCCCAAGCTGTGAGAGACAGATGAGTAGTAAGGAAACCCCATGTGTCTCTCTCCTTGACACTTTCCCATTGCTCCCAGATCTCGTGGGGACCCTCACCGGGATCTTGAAGGCATCCACAGAGACCTGGTTCTCTACGGAGTCCAGTGAGGGCCGGCGGGCACCAGAGGAGGAGTAGCTGACCGGGAAGGCCTGGGCAGGCCGACAGAAGGTCATCTCAGCAGAGGCAATGGATGGTTTGTGGGCATGCTTGTGGTAGCGGTGGATGCAGAAGGTGGAGAGCAGGACTGAGACGATGAAGGAGAAGAGGACAGCTGCTGCGATCACCGTGCGACACAACTCATCACACAATGGGCCTGCAGCAGGGGCACAATGATACGTTTCCTGTGAGCTGGCCAATGGAACCCACTGAATTCAGGTGCTGCTGTGTATGTGCCCCCTACCCTAGTAGGAGGGTAACCTGCTAGTTCCCTCCCAGAGAGGAGGGTAAAATAGTCAGAGAGGTTGAGAAACCCACTGAGGTCACAGCAAAGACATGTGAGCAACAAGTTTTCCTCTGCTTCAAATATCTTTGGTACTTTTGTTCACAAAAAAAAGCAGAAGGAGAGGAAAAAAGGATCTAAGGCTTGGGACCTAGGGCCCTGTAATAACTCAGATACCAGGAAAGTGTCCCTGGGCTCAGGCATCAGAGTTTCCCCCAGCATAGTCACTGCAGCCTCCACCTCCTACCACATCTGCAGCTTCTGAAGGTGTGACTAGATGGCTTGGCTAGGAGGGTTGGTCCCAAGCACCAAGTCAGGGCCCAGCAAGAGCCCTCCATAGAGACAATATAGGCAGATAACAAATTATTTGGAGGAAGAACAGCTTTTTTGCCCCATCCTTTGTTAGAAAATTTAGGACCAGAAGAACTTTGCAGGGGTCCCTAAGCCTTCTCCAGGGTTGTTTCAATGAGGAACCTGAGACCCAGCGGGTGGAGGAGACTTGTGCGGTTCACTAGCCTCCCTGGAATCTCCTCATTTTTGGAAACTCACAAGTGCCACTGGAAACCCTCCTTAGGGCTCAGGGAGGGGGAGGGCTCTGAGCAGGGGCCCCCGATCCCTTACTCACCCAGGCTGTCCTCTGGCTCACAGAAGCACTTCTTCTTCTCAGGGAAGCAGTTGCAGATGCCGTAGCCGGCTTTAATGCCCCGGCGCTCCCCTGGCTCATGTCCCCCAACAATGCTGCCCCCTGAGGATACACACAGTCCATTCAGCCTCTAGGGTAGCCTGCCACCTCTGGGTCCCCAGATTATGAAAGTAGTGTCCTAAGGCAGCAAGCACCCACCCCCACTGGATGTCAGCAAGCAATGGTGTTGTCAGACCCAGCCACGGTCGTAACTTCAGAAGCCCTGCTCACCTGGGCAGGGGTCTTAGACACAATGCTCCCAAGATGATTCTCTGGCCATGGGGGATAGGAGAGGAACCCAGATAGCCCAGGGTCCTTGCTGAGTCCCAGAAAACACTACACATGGTTACTTTTCAGATGCAGAAAATGGGTACTTAGGTATCCAAAAGGAAAAGTTGGCCCTGAACAGCCAGCAGGACGTGAGGGCTGTAGCCCTGTGAGTCAGCCAGTGTGACACTGGGAGTCACCAGGATCCCAAGTTTTGTTTAAACGAAATGTTAGAAGGAGGCTTGGCTTGATGAATCATGCTTAATGAAACTAACAGAGCACACTTTTATCTTTTTTTCTATGCTGGGGATTGAACCCAGGGCTTCATACCTGCTAAGCAGGCACTCTACCATTGAGTTACATCCACAATGCAGCTTGATGTAGCAAACCAATGGAGATAGCCACTTTGTGTGCAGGGGAGATTCCAGTCTCTCTACTGCTAGCTATCCCCATGCACGCTGATTAAATATCACCACTGGAGATGAGTGGGCAGCTTACTGAGGCAGTCTTGGGGGCAGATGTTGATATTCCGATTCTCCACGGCATCACAGTGACCATCAGGGCAAGTCTTGGTGTTGGGGGAGCAGGTGGAGAAGTTCCTGGTGATCCCTATGACATGAAACATGGTAGGATGTCACCCCATGTGGAAGAGTCCCACTCCTATCAGACTTCCCCACAGCCTCCTAAGCTGACCCTACCCCTCTAGGAAGAGGCAAACGGAAGCTGATGCAGAGAAATGCGACATAAACCTTAACACCAGTGGAAGTATCCCCGAGGAGTGAGAGAGGCAAGGATTCCCAGGGCTGGAAGGGTTGGGCAGTCCTGGGATGGAGATCAGGGAGGCCAGATGAGGCCAGAACCCCTTAGGTGACACTATGAGCAGGACCTTTGTAGTCACAGGCACACTCAGTGAGGCAGACAATGGTCCCTCCTGCTTGGTGTCATATCCTCCAGCCTGAGACCTCCTGGAAGAGCCATTCTGTTCTTTGCACAACCAAACGTTGGCCCAGACCTTCCCAAGCCTGGAGTGAATCCAACCCAGGGTTCTAGGATGGCAAAGGCCCTCATGACCTTGTTCCCTCCCCTCTATCCTGGCATGGTGAAGCCATACAAGGGACAAGGTTGTTGGATCACTGTAGAAGCCAGCAGGGCCTGCAGGACCCTGCATATTCCAGCAACCCTCACTCCTGGTAGCCACCAGCACCAGTCTCCTGAAGGTTCGTGGGACCTACCTTTGCCATCACCTTGCCTCCACTCACACCTGCCTGTTGGAGAGCCCAGGCCACCGCACTCCTCACACTCAGACCGCCTCTTGTTGACCGCACAGGATAGGGGGCAGCCTTCCTTCTCAGTCACATCTGTGGGGAGCAGACAAGCTGGTCACAGTGGGCCAGCCTGGGCCCAGCATCCAGCCTGTGCCCAGAATCCAGCCTGTACCCACGGAGAGAACAGCACAAGACCAGGAGATTTGGGGTGACCTGAGAGCACTGGGAATAGGATGGGGGATGGGACATGAGGGTCACAGATGTGGGAAGCTGCTTGAGGGGAGCGGGGAGTAAGGACAGGGGGATGTGAGGACAACCAGGCAGAGCAGACACCACACAGGATGCTCAGTTACACCTGAGTTTCAGATAAAGGATGAATATCTCTTCTGTGGGATATACTTGAAGGTTTGACTATCAAGAAACCTCACAAGGGCTGTTGCACAGAACATATCCAAAAGGCTGTGTCCCTTATCTGTGAGATCAGAAATGCTTTTTTTCCCCCCAGATCCTTATCATTATGATATTTTCATATCATCATGAGTATATTGGGGGTAAGAAATTCACTTATACTTCTGTGCACTTTAAACACATAGCAGGAAGGTAGGTTGAGATAATATTTTTGGTATACCTGCCTTTGACTGCAACTTGCCACAGGGTTAAAGGTGGAATTTTCCACTTGCGACATCATGTTGGGGATCAGAAAGTTTTAGATTCTGGAGCATCTCAGATTAGAAACACTTAACCCATACAAATAAGTTGCTAGTTATTTACCTGGAACTTGAGTTTAAGCAGGATCCTGTCTTTTACCTGACAGCCCTAAAGAGCACATACAGAATGTGTTGACTGTGGTGAGGAGTGGGGACCGTTCACCACACGGTTGCTCTGGGTCCAGCTGGTTCATACTACCCCCCCATCGTCCTTCCAGTTAAGTTGTGCAGTATGCACTGCTATTCTCATTGATGGCTCAGGGGAGCCATCAGCAGGTGAGGGAAGTAGGCTCTGCCACCCCTCCATGGCGTGTGGCACTCACATGTCCCCTCCACCGTGAGGAGCAGCGGGGCCTGGGCCTGCTTGCGGGCCTGCCGGTCACTGGCCACCACGGTGTACTGGAGCTCGGCACACTCGGGCCGCTGCAGGGTCTCCGTGTCGTTCACGAACAGTGTCCCCGAGGTGTCCTCAGCGGAGGTGACCACCCCCAGGATACTACAGTTGGTGCTGGATGGCTGTAGCTTGTACTGGACGTGGATGCCGCTGAATTCCTGGCAGTTTTCCACACAGACTTTCCCAATCTAGGTGAGGGGCACAGGGAACACCTTAGCCAAGCAGCTGGATTGGCCTGAAAATAGCAAGAGAGGCTTCTGGGCAGCTTGAGCCCCCAAATGGTTTCTAGCTCTGCCTTGGAGTATTCATGCCCTCCTCAATGATAAGTCTTCCACTCCCACAGAATCTGCAGACCCAGCCACCTGCCACAACTCTGCCCTGCCCTGGTCTGCTCAGTGCACCAAGTAACTGGCTGCCCCTGGTCCTAGAAGCCAGAGGTGAAGGTAACGCACCCTACCTCAGTTACCCAACGGCTAGTCACAGTCACAGTCCTGCATTTGGATACGACATGACTCTTGACATGACCAATGCAGTGTGGCTGCTTGTCCCACATGAGACCAAGGGGCCTCTTTCCCAGGACACCAGGCTCTGGAGCTGGACAGATAAACTTTTACCTTTTGGCTACTTCAGTTAAGAGTTATGGTGGTAGCAGCTGAAAGCCAAGAGCTTCAGAAGTGGAGGAATGGGGCAGGGCCCTGCTTATGGGTACAGAACCAGCCCTAGAGGTCAGCACTTAGGTCAGAGCAGAAGCCAGTGCCTCCAGACCACCACTGGATACCACCACAAAACCTGCCTCCTGCGCCACCTTGCTTTCCCCTGCAGAGCGAGTTCACTTCCATCTTCTCAAAGATCCTCAAAGCTGTCCAAAAGATCCCTGACCTCAATTTACTTTTAAAAACTGAGGAGGGGATGAGGAATCACATGGAATCTGATATTGAATTGAGACTGAGGCCCTGTAGTCTCCTAAGTCTGACAGATATCATTGAACCATCTCCAGCAATGCCTGCTCTCTCTCAGCCCTCTCTGAGATCCCTAGGCCCCTCTGCCTTGTTGCCCCTATCTCTAACCCCTCCTCCATGAAAGTCCTTCTGGTAACAACCAGGCAGGGAGCTTGGATATATCCAAGGGAGGGGTTCCTTGTATGCTGGACCCAAGTGGCTGCCAGGAGCTGATGGGGAACAGAATCACCTGTTGGAACTGGGAAACTACTGGTACAAAAGGAAAGAGCCCTAAACATGACATTCTAAAAAATACATAACCACATGTTGCTCCATTAGGAGAAAATATGTTAAGTTATGCATGCTGAAATTGCAAGTAAACTAAAAAAAAAATTGCTTAAGAAAAACATTCAAGGAAGAGCAGGATCAAAATGCTCCACACTGGTGCATATGAGGGGAAAGGATTATTCGTTCCCTCTCCTCATCTTCTTTAACAAATATTTATTACTTTTATCTTTCTACTTCTCTTTATTATTTTCCAATAGCAAATATAAATACAGAGAAATGTTTCTAGCAAATGCTCTTATAGAAAGTAAAAAGCAGAACCATTCCCCTCCTCCTCACACCAGAAGGGCATCACTGTTAACTACATTCTGCATGCTTGCAAATTTTCAAGAAAAATTTGGTTTTGCACAAATATAGTCATTCCTACAAACCACTTTTTTTTTTAACCTAACAATCCACTAGGGACATCTTTTCCAAGTCAGCATTCATACTTAAAAACATTGCTCTTATATTAGCACAAAAATGTTTTAAAGATATAAAGAGGAAAAGGGCAAAAATAGAGAGGCTTAAGAAGCTCCCAACCCTGCTTGCTCCCAGACCTTTTCTGAGTACCCAGACCACTGCCCTCCTGGCCTTGTGTCTGTGGTTCCACCTCAGTAACTCTCACTGGGTAGCTTCGGGAAGGGGAGTCACCCACCCCAAACCTTACCTTTGATCTGCTAAATAAAGAACCCCACCACTGGGGTTTCCCAACACCCTGGCAGACAGTGGGCCATGGGCTCACCTGGGCATAATGGCGGGCCCCTTTGTTTACAGAGAAGGAATAGGTGCTGGGCAGGCGTAGGATGACAGGTAGCACTGACACATTGAAGTGGAGGAGGAGAACACCTGTCCCTGGACCCTGGAAGTCTGAATCATTGACCAGCACAGTGAGCTGCAGGGATCGGTTCTCTGAGATGGAGATGCTCCGGTTGAGAACCAGCTCTGTGGGTAGGGAACATGATGATGACAATCAAGCTGCTTTGGTTTGGGATGGATCCCTAACACCATGGCACAGCACACCTCCTCCCAGACATGCAGCCCTGAACACATGTGTGCAAACAGCTACTTTCATGCATGGTCCCAAACAACATGTTTGATGGTCAGCCCTCAATTAAAACCAATATTTAAATGTTGGCTATACTACTGAGATGGAAGCCCAAACTTTCTTTGCTATGGTGGCCTGTGTGTGCATGGATGAGAATGTGTGTATGCATAAAATGTGTGTTGTGTATGTGTGTGTGTGGAGTATGTATATGTGTCCTGATTGTTTCATGTATGTACAGGGTGTGTATGTATTTTGGTACATATTTTTTGTGTTAATGTGTATGGGGTGAGTGGTTTATGTGTATTTATGCAGTGCTTATACATATGTGCTGTGTATAAAAGGTGTCTGTGTATGGGGCATTATGTAGTGTGTGTAGATAGGATGTATGCTGTGTTTATATGTAAAGTGTGAGTAATGTGGAGATGTGTGTGGTATATTTGTGCTATGTGTATGCTTTGGTGAGTGCATGGTATATGTATGCAATGCATAGTAGTGTGTGTGGTGTGTATACTGCATGTGCACCGTATGTGTTATGTGTATGGGGTATTTGTGTGGTGAGTATATGGGGTATGTGCGTGTGTTGTGTGGTCTCAAGGGAGGTAAGCTCAGCCAGCCCCGAGGCCCTGGGAAGAGCTATGTGCCACCAGCCATCCTTACTGTAGTCATGCACAGTTGCCCGCACGAAGCTGCCATTGGCCTGGACTAAGGTCTCGTTGGGCGAATGCTCCACGCGGAAGATCTGCTGAGCCCAGGGGTCCCCGGGGAGCAGCGTGTTGGTGTACCGCCTTACAAGTTCCCCAGATGCTGGCACCACATCCGCATCAAAGACACGGAGGGTGGCTACCACGGTGCCCTGTGGGGGTAAAGAGAGCATCAGAGGAGTGTCCTTGGGAGGACCCATGACGTGGCACAGCCCACAATGGACCAGATGAGCGCTGTCAGAGTCAACCCTGCAGACTGACCAGCCTGGGTTTTAGTCATCATGGGATCACTTGGCATTTGGCCTAGTCACTTCCTTGGGTGACTTTGCCTCAACTGTACCACAGGTGTGAGGCACTTCCTGTAAGGAGGCTCAGATCAGGTGCCCAAGTGCTGTGCTAACAGTTCTCTTCCAGGTCCCCAAAGTGCAGGAGCACCCTCACTCTGCCCTAAGAAAGATGCCTGCCCCCACAAGGGTCAGCTCAACATGACAGTGACAGACGGCAGAACGGTACCCAAACTTACGTGCACCCCCAAGTGCTCTCCCCAAGCATCTTGTGTACACCAGGTTGGAAAGGGCTGTGTAGAAAGCCACAGGGCACCTGGGAGCTCGTTCACAGAGCTCCCTGTGGTCATCCCAAGGTTGCCCTGCCAAGATCACGTGCTCTTTACCACATGATGAACTTTCCTCTCAGCCCCAACCCATCCCCCGCAAAACCTGCACCTGCAGTACCCGAAGAAGCAGAAAAAGGCCACACAAGGCAAAGGTGGCTCTGGCTTCTCCATTCCATTGCGCCTGCGGATAGGACTGACTGCATTATGGTCTGAGACCCAGCAGGTGGCAGTAGCGCTCCATCACCCCAGGACAGAAAAGGGTGGGGCAGGGATCCGCCTGAGATCACAGCAGGATCTTCAACCCAGTCTTTCCAATACCCAGCTCCTTCCCTTATGCCTTAAAGGCCCTCCTGTGCAAGGGTGGTTACCTATGCACGGGCATGGGGAAGGCCTTCTTGGAAGTATGTCCTCGCCTGGCAAGAAGCCCTGCTGGGGTGCAGAGGCACAGGTGATCAAAAGTGTGCCCCAGACACACTCTGTTTGGTCCACCTGGTCAGACTCAAGCTGGGCACAAAGGGTACCCTGGCTCTCAAGTTGGGACCCAGCAGACTGCTGGTAGGCAGACAGCCTGACAGACAGAGGGACAAATGAAAGGACAGTCACATGATTGGATGGCTAAGAGACCAAGGGATAAACTTTGGATGGAGATACAGACAACAAACAGGAAGAATGGGAATGACAGACATGCAGGCGCAAGACAAACACCTCCTTCCGCTTGAATTTGACCACTGCACTGGCGGTGTCCACCCCTCCAGGGAAGGTGGGGGCCGAGTCGTCTTCATCATACACGGTCACAGGGAAGGGCACCATCACCTCCTCCTCATGCTTTCCAATGCGCACGGTGCACTGGGCGACCAGATCGTATTTCTCCTGCTGCTCACGATCCAGGGCCCAGCGCGTGCTCACCTCTAGGCTGTCCGGAGCACAGCGGAAGGGCAGACTCTCACCTGTACACCAAGCAGACCGGAAGCCCAAGTGACCACCTGGCTGAGCACAGGGTGAACTGCTTTCCTCGGGGTCCCACCCAGAGCAGCTGAATGGGTGGGTGGGTGGGTGGGGCACTGCAGTCATTGTCAGAACTCATAGGCATGCTGGTAGTAAGAGGGGTTGGCTCGTGGGAGGGCTCTGTATGCCACCTTCCATAGGGGCAGGGAGCCCCTGGTTCCATAGGGGCAGGGAGCCCTGTGTCACAAGCCCAGATTTGCAGCCATGTGTGGTTTTGTTCTTTTCTGGCTTTCACTCAGGCCGATGGAGAGGAAGCAGTGTGAGAATCCTCTTCCCCAATTAGACAGGAAAGGCCTGGTATGTACTCACACCATCTTACCCCCAGCTTCCATCTGGAGTAGGTTTGTGTGGGGAGGCTGCAGGTCCAGAGAGCCAGCTCCAGGCCATGGCTCATTTTTTAAAAAATATTTAGCAACTTTTAAATTACAGAAATAATATTTGCTCATTTCAGAACATGAGAAATAGAGCCAATAGTTCTACCACTTGAAAACAAACACGGTGAATATTTGGCATATGATTTGATGTGAATGCACAAATATTTCCCAACTTGTGATCTGCATTCCAGCTCTATACCTCTTGCTTTGTAACTTTAGATGGGTCATTCTGCCTCCCTGCCTCAGTTTTCTCCCCAGCAGATGGGATGAGGCTGCTCCATGCCCGGCACTGCCACAGGCTCTGCAGAGATTCCTTGTGACTCTCAGGGTGCACAGATCTGAAAGTTGCTCCCAGACCTGGACCTGCCCTGTTCCCATCAACCTCTGTTCTTCTGCACTCCACATGGATGACACAGGGTCCCACTGTGGTACCCTCCAAGGGGCAAGATCTGTCCCACCTGGCACAGACTCACTTTTGCTCAGGGGCCCTTGCCCAAACCACCTAATTAAAGATAGTGGTCTCCACCACTCCCCACTCCCTGTCTCCTTGCTTTTCCTCCCACCTCATTTTTTTCCTAGAAGCCATCTGATTTCTTTGGTATGTTCATAGGTTCTCTCTCTCGTATAAAGGGAAGTTCCTAGCAGGTAGAATGCCAGCCTGTTTATTCAGTGCTGCTTCCTTAGCTCCTAGAACAGTATTTGGCCCACAGCAAACATCCAAGAGATTATTTCTGGAATGTTAAATCGTGGTGGACACTAAACCAGATGGCTTATGCTAAGTGCTCACAGCACTGCATCTGGCCTGCAGCGCCATGAGGCAGGCACTCACCTTCCAGAAGCCTGTAGGCCACACTGATGTTAGGGCAAAAGAACTGCACAGGCAGCAGGCGGAACTGATGGAAGGTACCAGGGGGCCTGTTTTCCCGGATGCGGAAGGAGAGGCCCGTCTCAGGGAAGCACAGCTCTCTGGGTTTGAGGGAGCTGCAGGCTGGGAAGGAGGTGTTGTAGAAGGAGAAGTACACGCGGGCACAACCCGGCCACTGGCACTCACTTTCACGCAGGGGTGTGGATGACAGGAAGACCTGGAGGAAGATGGTGAGCAGGGGGAAGCCACCATCTGTAAGGAGAGAAAAAGTCACGGGGAATGGGAGGGGGCAAGAGCTGTGGTCCACAGGACTCTGCTGGGCTCCCAGCCCCAGTCGCCACCTCCCCGTCTTGCTGGCTGGATCCAAGGGCCTGGAGCACCAGTGTCCCCCAAGCCCAACCCTCTTGCAATTCAGCTCTCATTTCAAATGACCCTCCTCAGGGAGCCTCGGAGCACTAGGTTTAATGTTCCCGGACCTCCGGCAGGTGGACAGCTTCTCAGGGTTGGCTCCTACAGTATATGGTGACTAGCAGCACTCCCCACACACCACAAACGTCCCCAGGTGATCTTATTTTTGTCATATCCTGTGATTAGACTTCCCCAGCACCTAGAGGGGAATTCCCATCAGGTTCTACCACCGAGGAACCACAGTAACTTCAACAAGGTCTGGATCTTAGCTCCATTAGGCAGTGCGTGGCTCAGGGCTCTGAAAAACACAGGCCCATAACAAATTCCATCCTGACCCCCACTGGGGATCTCTAGAGTTCGTCAAGTTTCCTACTGGGGGCTCAAGAGGAAGATGGCGGCAACTAAATGTACATGGAAACAAGGCCCATATCATAGCCCCTTCCTCCAGGAACTGCCCTGGAAGAGAACTGTCCATCCCTTCCCTACTCCCCACCAAGGGATGGTGTGACCTTGGCTGCCATGGAAGACTGGCCAGTCATTCTTCCAATGCTGGGCAGTGTCACTTGTTCTGTATTTGTGACAGATGACCTGCCTCTCACCTGTGGACAGGGGCTCGGGGCCATCGTAAGGTGGAGTGAGGCCAGGCATCAGGGCGATACTAGGAAGGGGGAGCTACTGGGTACGAAATCAACATTTCATATCACAAAGCCTTGGGATGTATCTCCATCCCACCTGGGGCCATGGTCACAGGTGGCCTTGGCTGCAACTCTGACTCCTGGTCTGAGCAGCTGGCCAGGTCTTCCTTTGGCTCTGCTTCCCTCCTTGGAGACCTGGGCCAGGCCTGAGTCCCCACCAGGTAGAAGGGGAGTCTGCTGTCAGTGGGAAGATAGGTTTTCTGGGAACTGCTTCTTCTCCAGCAAGTTCCAGGTCATCAGCTACATCCAGTCCTTGGGATTTTTTCCCCCAACCCTTCTGAATCCTTCTTTCATAAGCTCACGGTCAACCTCACTGAAAAAGGCTTCTGCGTCCTGGAGAGAGTACCCAAATCATTCCCAGCGGTCTCTAAGCTTGTAACTTCTGCAGGCCAAAGGATCATCAGTGCCCCAAACTTATGGGAGTCCCTTGCCTGGCCACCAGCCTCGCCTGGCCCCTTCTACCCTGACCCACCAAAGCCCTGGGGGGGGTGGCTGGAGGAAGAAGCAGAGGTGGGGTGTGCTCTCTTACTGCGAATGCTGAGCTTCTCCCAGGAAGTGTGGTCCAGGCTCTGGTTGAGGTAGACAAGGCCAGTATCCTCCTGGACACGGATCCAGTTATTCTCATGCAGCCGTGGGCGATGGAAGCCATGGAGGTGCTGGCCCAGGTGAAAGCTGGGCACCTCTCCAGGGGCGTCTCGGAGGGCATGGACATAGAGCAGGGGCGTGCCAGCTGGCTGGTCCACATACAGCCTCTCCCAGTAAGCATCTCTAGAGAAGTAGAGGCCCAGGGGAGCTACAAGAAGCAAGGAAGTGTGTGAGGGAGGGCGGAAATAATGGCTTCTTCATGGGTTAAAAATAAAACATCACTAATTTAAAGCTCTGATCTTAGCAGGAATTTCTTTTTTTTTGTATATTCAGAATTTAAAGTCATTTTTATAATGTATAAAAACATGTAAAGTAATATAAGTTTCTATAGTTTAACTCTACTAATATTTACCTGATATCTTGAAGGATCATAAATAATTTCTTTTTGCAAGTCATGAAATTAATACTTCTTAAATGATCAGATGTTTTAATAATGGTCTTTTTAAAATTTGTTCCTTCTAGATATACATGACAGTAGGGTCTATGTTGACATACATATAGACAACAAGTATGACTTGTTCCAAATTGGATCCCATTATTGTGGTTGTATATGATGTAGAGTTGCATTGGTTGTGTACTCATATATAAGGATAGGAAAGATATGTCCTATTCCTTCTATTGTCTTTTCTATTCCCATCCCTCTCCCTTCCCTTCATTCCCCCTTGTCTAGTCTGAAGAACTTCTAATTTTCCCCTCCCTTGTTGTGGGTTAGCATCCACATACCAGAAAGTACATTCTGTCTTTGGTATTTTGGGACTGGCTTATTTAGCTTATTTCACATCCACCCATTTACTGGAAAATGCCATGATTTTATTCTTCTTTATGGCTGAGTAATACTCTTATGTATATATACTACATTTTCTTTATCCATTCATCTGTTGTAGGGCTCCTAGGTTTGGTTCCATAGCTTGGCTTAGCAGGAATTGCTAACTTTTAGTCCAAAGAATGTGAACACTAGAATTATTTGTATACCTAAACACTGACTAAAATTACACTACATTAAAACAGAAAAAAGGAAAAGGAGGGACAAAGGGGAGGATGTATAAAACTGCTTCAGTATCATTATTTAATTAACCGAGTGTCATAACACCTGAGTCACACACAAGTGGCGCATCCACGGTAGCTTCTGAATAAACCACACAGAGCTAGCATTTTCAAGGGTATGAGATGCTGACAGACAAGCAGGACAGGCAACAACTTCCCGAAACCAAGAAAGAACTTCCTAAGGAAGTAGTCAACCTTTAAACCCATTCCTACTATATGACCCAGAACTCTATTCCATTTTCCAATAGAAACAAAAAAACATCCATCCATCAAATGACATAATTGTAAATGCAGGATTATTCAGAATAGCTGAGAGATAGAAAGAGCCTCAGTGCTATACCATGATATAAAGGGATGATGTCGATATAAAGGGATGAACTACTGGTGTAACAGTCTGAATGGATCTCGTGGAAATCATGCCACGCTGAAGAAGTCAGACAGAACGAAGACACGTGGTCTGATTCTAGGTAATTTATTAGACTGGTTGTCTGTTGGGTTGGGATAGGGTTGACTGCCTGGGAATGACAGGAGGGGACTTTCTGGGAAATGTAAATGATAAGGAGGTAGGTCATGTGGCCATATCCACCTGTCAACATTGTGCAGCTAATATCTGTGCATTTCGACCTCTGCAAATTTTGCCTTAAAAAACTGATAAAACCCCAATGTGGTTATTGGCAGAGGTGCAACTGCAATGAGGAAGCTGGAAAATTGACCTTGGCTGTGACTGGATGAGACTACAAAGGAGCTTCATGAACTGTGCTGTAATTTGGGGTATGTCCGATGATTTTCATAATAAGAGTGTTTTACTTAATAGTAAGAATTTTCTCACCATAGTGAGAATGAAATGGAACAGTAAGCTGTAGAAAACAGTGTGGTGGTTCCTGAAAACATTAAACACAGAATTACCATCAGACCCAGCAATTCCACTTCTGGGAATAGATTCAAAAGAACTGAAAGTTAGGTCTCAAAGAGACTTCTGCACACCCATGCTCATAGCAGCACTACTCATAATAGCCAAAAGGTGGAAGCAACCCCAATACTCATCAATGGATGAATGAATAAACAAAACGTGCTATATATGGTATATACAATGGAATATTATTCTACCTTAAAAAGGAAGGAAGTTTGCTGGGCATGATGGTGCATGCCTATAATCCCAGTGGCTCAGGAGGCTGAATCAGGAGGATTTCAAGTTTAGCACCTTGCCAGCCTCAGCAATGGCAAGGTGCTAAAAAATTCAGTGAGACCCTATCTCTAAATAAAATACAAAATATGGCTGGGAATGTGGCTCAGTGGATGAGTACCCCTGAGTTTAATTCCTGGTAATGCACCCCCTAAAAAAAGGGGAAGGAAATTCTTTTATTTATCTTTTACCTTATGTTATGTATGACAGCAGAATCCATTTTGATATAATTATACAAGCATGGGATATATCTTATTCTAATTAGGACCTCCATTCTTGTGGATGTACACGATGGTGGGATTCACTGTGGTGTATACAGGAAAATTATGACAGATTCATTCCACTGTCTTTCCTTTTCCTATCCCCTCCTCTTTCTCTTCATTCACCTTTGTCTATTTATTGAATTCCCATTCTTTCCTTACCCTCTTTATTGTGGGTTAGCTTCCATGTCATTAGTGAAAACATCCAACTTTTGGCTTTGGGGGACTGGTTTATTTCACTTAGGATGACAATTTCCAGGACCATCATTTACTAACAAATGTCATAAAGTCATTCTTCTTAATGGCTGAGTAATACTCCATTATGTGTATACAGTACATTTTCTTTATCCATTCATCTGTTCATGGGAACATAGTTTAGCTATTGTTAATTTGAGTGGCTGTAAACATGATGTGGCTGTATAACTGTAATATGCTGATTTAAAATCCTTTGGATATATAAAAGAGTGGGATAGCTGGGTCAAACTAGCTGGTTCCACTCCTAGTTTTTTGAGGAATCTCTATATCACTTTCCTGAGTAGTTGTACCAATTTGTTGACCCACCAACAATATATGTGTGTACTTTCCCCCACATCCTCGCCAAAATGTATTGTTACTTGTATTATTGATAATCGCCATTCTGACTGGAGTGAGATGAAATCTCAGTGTAGTTTTAATTTGCATTTCTCTAATTGCTAGAGAATATTTTTCATATATTTGTTGACCATTCCTATTTCTTCTTTTGAGAAGTGTCTGTTCAGTTCCTTTGCCCATTTATTGACTGGATTATTTGATTTTGGCGGGGGAGTTAAAATTCTTTATATATCCCGGAAATTATTATCCTACTGAGGTACAGGCAGCAAAGATAAAAGGAAAGAATTTTCTGACGCATGCTATAGCATGATGAACTTCAAGGACATGATGCTAAATGAAATAAGCCAGTCACAAAGAGAAAAATATTGTATGACTTCCCTTGCTAGGAAACCTAAAGTAGTCACACTCATAAAAACCCAAGGTAGAAAGAGGGTTGCGAGGGGCTGGGGATGGGATGGCAAATTATTATTTAATGAGTATTCCGAGTTTCACTTTGGGATGATGGAAAAGTTCTGTGGCTGGATGCTGGTGATGGTTTCACAACACCATGAACACTGTGGGTGTTCTTATTGCTATTGAACTATACCCTTAAAATGTAAGTTTAAGATGGTCAGTTTTATGTTATGTATGTTTTTCCACAATCAAAAAAGTACAATTTTTTTTAAAAAAGATGAGTCAACAGGCAAAAATGTTTAAAACACATTGATAAACTCAAATAACTCTACAATGCACAGAAATATCAACACACAAAGCAGATACCAGAAACCCTGTACTCCCGTATGACTGGCTTATCTTTTCAGTCAGTTAATTCCCACCTAGGTGCCACTCTCCTCACAGCAGCCCCTCTTCCAGGCACCAGCAGAAGATGTCTATTAGGCAGCTGCATGGGTTCTCCTCTGGGATTTGGGAAAGCCATGAAGCTCAACAGGAGGGAGGCAAACGCAATAGGCAAGACCACGTGGGGCTCCAAAGCAGTAAGAAAACGAGAAGGCTTCTTGCACTGCGGAATGCTTCTCAAAGAGACCCTCAAAGACAACAAAGATGGGAAGCCAACCTGAAGCAAGCCTTCCTCTGGTCCTGGCAGCACATAAAATGGAATATTGTTCTGGTCCTGCCCGTCCCATAGTGGGGCTGCCATGCTCCACCTCCCTGCACTGATGGATTGATAGATTGTAGCCAAAGAATGGAAGGGAAGGTCCTTCATGGAAAGCCCCTCCGTAGAGGAGGTGGGTATGGGAAGAGGGAGGGCCATGACCTCTGGGAAGCAGGGCTTATATTGTAGTTCTTTATATATCCTCTCCCTGTAGCTACCAAGAATTTCACACTGCCAAGGAGAGGGGAAACTAAGGAGGTCCCAGAAAAAACCACATTGTGGAACACTGGAGAGGGAGTGCCACAACTGGACCACTACCCGCTGGCCCCAACCACCAGTCTCCTGAGGGGCCACAGCAGAGCTTCCCGCACACGCCCAATGCTATTCTCCTTTCCCAGGGGCCTAGGAGGACAAAGCCTCCCCTCGTGGCATCTAATAGCTGGAAGCACAGGCGGACAGCTCAGTGGGCTGGGTCCCAAGAGAACCACAGGTTGCTACCTGCTCCCTGACAGTGAGGCAGGTGACTCTCAGTGTCAGGGAAGGTCCTGGGAAAGGACAGCTGATGGCATACAGCTCTGTGGTGCCTGGAGGCTACAGGAGAGCAGCTGGGCATGTGCCAGGGGGAATGCCCTGCTCGGTACAGCCCTCCTGCCATAAGGGCAAATTCCACTTGGGAGTCTCCCAGTGATTCATGGTGCATTCCTACCTTCAGGGGTAGAGGCTGGGAGGTGGGATAGGCCCACTCCACCCCCCACCAAAAAAAAAAATCCCACATGTCCAGGGAGAACAGGCTGGCCTGGCCCTTGCTTTGCAGACCTGGGCCCGCAGGATCATGTGGGGCCCAGTGTTGCTACTGCCAGAAGGGATTTGTGGGTCGGGCAATGATTGTGCACAGAAAGAGTCTTAAATGCATTTAAAATGCCTCCCGGGCGGTCCCTGTGGCAGGGCTCAGCATTGTAATGTTCTTTCTTGTCAAA